TGGTCCAATAATTTTACCATGTATCTTTACTCTTTTAAGCCTTCCATGCTGTCTAGTCATTTATACTGCTGCAAAGTGAGCAGAAATAGAATTAAAACTATCTCTCTGGGGTTTTTTTGTTTGTTTTTATTTTTGTTTTTGTGTTAAGCTGCAGCCCCACAGTAATTAGTACAAGATCTGCACATGTCTGTCTTGCCTGTCAGATCTGATCCTGATTTGGCCTGGGTACATAGCTGCACCAGTGTCAAAGTGGTCAGAGCACRTGATACACTGGTTACACAAGCTTTAAGAGATGCTACCTAACATAGAARCTRTTACAATAAARCCTCTCCATTAAAATGTTTTGAATMATAAMCTTATGCTTATGCTCTTCAGCATTTTGTGTCATATGAATATGGTATTTCCAAGTTCATATTAGWGATAAAATAAGGTTTTCTGTCCTTTGGAACTCTGCTTCTTGTCCCTTGGTTTTACATAAATCTTGCACAGCAACAAATGTTGAAACTGAGACAAAATGCTATTGAAAAAGAGAACAATAATAGTGTAATATTGCTTTGTCTGGGATTTCCACTACTATCTTTTTCCTGGCAGTGGGGCAAGAGATGAAGTTACTTTTCAGACTGATGGTAGATAGTTGCATGTTATATTCAATGCACAGAAAAACACTAGGGTTACTTTGTTACAATCATTCCCTGCTTGTATAACAAACACAATAAATATTGCCAAAATGTAAAGACAGCAAATCCATCTGCCTTTCAGCRGGAGGTGCAATCTACTCAGCATAAGACGTCATTTTGGGTTGGAATTTTTTATTATTTGCACTACCYCCATCTCTCATTTAGTACACAGTGTGATTCTTTCTCTGTGGTGCTTTCTCCAGAGGTTCTGTATTGGCTTTCCTCAATGTCTTTTGATGAAAAGYCTGTGATCATTTCAGATAACTGAGGAAGTGTTTTCCTTTGACATTGCTTTTTTCTCTGTTTGGTATGGTATTTGTCTCAATTTCAGTTTCACCTCCATGTTATCAGTTACACAGCTCTTCCCCAGGTGGGTGTTGATCCTGCAAGTTGCTTGATGTTGCCAGTGGCCTGCACAGGCCCCAGTGGAGCCACTGGTACAATCTATTGCCCACACAGAACAGCCTGCAAAGTCAAGGCTTTGATTTGCTCAGTAAGTCAAGGTTTGCAGTTCTCCTGAAGAGCCTAGATCATCATCTTGCTCCTTCTGCAGTCATTCTGTAGCTGAATTGTCATATGTATGTTTGGTATAAATTACAATATTTAGCTGAGCAAGATAACTTTTTGGCACATGTTCACTATCAGTGTAAGGTGTGAGGTACCGAGAGCCTGACTATAGTTTACGGTCACTGATTCTGTTTGTTGAGATCCTGACATAGTTCACAGATTTCAATTTTGTTCAGTAATCTACAGTGACACTGTTATGCAGGAAGCCATACCAGTCAAGTTCAGTCCTGCTAGGATGTGGTTTTTGCTGATTATCATTTGGTGCTTTAGGTTTATTTTCAGTATCAGAAGCATCCTTTGGTTTCAAGCAGGGTTGTTGGTCCCACCATGAGATGACTTTAAGTGATCATGCACCGATGGAGGAAAGGTTTATGCTTTCATTAGGATTTAATTTTTGATTCCCTAGTTCTTTACAGTTAAAAAGCTGGTATAAATTTGACAATCTTTGCTGTACTATGGTTAGTATGAAGAAGCAATGTAATTATGCCATGCATTCATTCATACTTACTGTCCAGAGAATTAGGAGCCTTGGATTTGTACCCTAGTTGTGCCTTCAAAGATATTTCACTGCTTGGGAATACAGAATGCTTTAGATCCTCTTCAGCTCTTCTTAGATTCTGAGCCTAAATTTAACTTCTCTGCCTGACAGAGCCCTGCTTCCTAACAAAGTTAGCACGACAGCCCCAATTGTGTTTGGTGTACATTAACTCCTTTCCCTTGGTAAACTGTTATATGGAAAGCCAATTGAAGATAACACGGAAAGAGCTTCTTGAAAACAAATCCTTTCTATCCATCAAAATGTACTCTGAGCAAAGGCCTAGGACAATAAATATTTGCATTTCTTCTTGCTTAGACCTTTGCCTTTCCTGGAAGATTTAGTAAATTTCCATCAGCCTTGTTATTTCCCCTTTTGCACTGGGAGGCTTCTATTCCTTGTTGGAGCYTCTCCAGCAGAGAAGCTCTATTCCAGCTGCTGACAGGCCTTTAAATCCTACTTCTTTTCCTCATCCTGAAGTTCTTCAATAATTTATTACTCTCTTTGATCCCAGGCCTTGGCCTGGAAATAGTAAACCTTGCTAGCCAGATAGGATCTGTCCAGCAGAGTGGGGTATTCTCCAGCAGTCCCACACGTTGTCCCCTTAGGAACTCTTTAAGTTTGCCATTATTTGATTTCTTGTTTTCTTCCTCCCTCCTTATCCTCACCCTTTTCCACTAAGTCAGAGACTACTGATAAAGACTTCATATTTATCAGATGGAATATAGGATGTTATACATAGATAGGAGTTGGGGAGATAGCAGAGASAGAGATTTCAGAGCAATAAGCACATTGATTTGGAAAATGTTGGGAAATAGTGGAAAGATATTAATAATAAAAACCCTGCCACAATATGGGGGTTTTCCTTATTAATTTTTCTCCTTCTCTTCTCCTCTGTTAAAAGCTGGGCTTCAGATGCTGCTTTCCACGTACCACAGTGAGCTAAATTAGAGTCAAGTATTTTATTAGGTTGGTGTCTTGTCTTCTAATGGCTCAAGTCTGCATTGCTTTTTTGAGAATACTTCTATAGTTTGCCTGAAGCTTTCTGATACATTTATTATGAAGCACAGGTAGAGGCAGGCTAAAATTTTCAAGCCTGAATGGATGCAGTTCGACACCCATAATCCATATCTAGGCACTTAAGAAATGTGATTTTCAGAGGTAGGGAGCATAGAAACACATTTGAAATAATTTTGAGCTCRGTACTTTTGAGCATTAGATACCTTTTTTATGCTTAAGTGTATTTTCAAGCTCTGAAAACTTTGACTGCATGACAAAAGAGAGCTTTAGACTGCATATCCATTTAAAAACATTTCAGAGGTGGATGAAACTCCAATTATCTAATTTTTTTTTTCTGTATTGACATAAGGCAGTTTTCTGAACAGCCATCTTCTAGTAACATCTTTAGCCTTAACATGAAATTAATCTAAAAATGAACTTTTTTTCTTCCTGTGGTCTGCAGTATGACTGGCTGTACAATAAAGCCTTGCCCAAGAAAAACTGTTCTGCAAGATGGTATTTTTGATAACTGCTCTTAACAGTGTTCAGTGCTATACATATTCAAGGTTGTATTACTGAAAGAAGTAAGYAGGGGCTCTCATTGCAATTCCTTCCAAATCTAACAGGACATCAATTTTACAGATTTGGTACACACTTCTGAACTTATCTAGGAGWTTGGGATTGCTTTCATTTGAAAAGCAGCCACAGACTAAACAAGTAGTATTTGGTTCTTAAGGGAGCACAGAAAAAGAAACAGCCCATGCTATTGACTTGCATATAGCCAACTCTTGCAAGTTCCCTGTTCACTATCTTGATTTTCATTGGTGGCACTCTGAGCCTGCTGCTACCAATTCCTGCGCTGGCAGGATCTTTCCAGATGTGTTACACTATGGAACATTAAAAATTGAACAAGAAAGAATGTGAAGAAACTCCTATTGGGAGAAACAAAATATTGTTCATTAGAGATAAAGACCAGTCTCTGAATTGAAAAGGTGGTTTAACTTCATTACGATAGTTTGTTCAATGCAAACTTATTCTACAAATATTTATGCGTGAGTAGTTTTACGTAAATGGGTAGTTCCATCAAGCTAGATTTTTTTTATCACTTTGTTTAGGTGTTTGGACAAGGTCAAATATCTCTTGTGCCTTCTTGGTGTTTTCCTTTCAATTTTGTGTAGCTTATAATGAAATTTGTTTAGCTCCCATCTTTGTGTTTCTGCTCCCAGCTTTGTATCTGTTTATCTCCTTTTGACTTCAAGCTCTCAAAGCTGAATCAGTCTTGCTTTGCACAGATCATTGTCAGGCTTTGTGCTGGCACCTTGTAGATGATTACAGTTATCACAACACAGGAAACACTAAGTCCAGCCCTGATATAAATGATACTGAGTAGGCTAATGTAGCTATCTAATCTGTATAAATTTCAGTTGCTTGGAGAATGATGGTGTAGGAGTGAGTTATGCTGCTCAAATCCCAGACGGTGTCCTGCAATAATGCACAAGTAGTCTCAAAAGGATTGATTGACATTTCAAATGCCAGAATTTATCTAACTGTAAGAGAAGTAGAAAAAAAACCCTGGATTAAAGGAAGATTATCAAGTGAGTAAGATGCTTTAGAAATTATTTGTCTCAATTCCTCTGTTGCCATACACACAAACCAAGKTTTCAGATGCTGTAAATTAAAGGCCGGGGGTACGGATGCCCTTAGTACTTTTTGGAGGGGCAGCATCGGCCGGAGCCAAGGTGTGCCCACCCACCTTCCTCCCTGGCAGGACCCACAGTCCCTGGTCGGCCACCCCCCTAACTTTTGAGTCTGGAAGGCAGCCGGCCCGGCGGCTCCGAGGAGCCGCTCGCTYGCCTCCTAGGGAGCCCTGCTCCGGGAGAAGGAAGTGACTGGCGTTTCCCACCGGTCCTGCTGCGTTCCCCTGCGCCACAGTGCCCGGGAGGTGCAGACGCGGAGCTTGCCAGCCAGGGCCGCCCGGGCGCCGGGCTCCCCGGGAGCGACCCCAGCCTGCTCCGACCGTCCCCTCGGGCCGGGCGAGCTCCGCCAGCGCCTCCCAGCCCCCGGCAGTCGGCAGAGGCGGCCGCGGAGGCCGGGCTCCCTCTGGGCGGCAGGAGGTGAATGGCAAGCGCCGGCTTCTCCCTCCCACACCCCAGTGTCGGTCTCGCCTCCTCCAGCAGCAGCAGTAGCGGGTCACCTCTGCGCGGCTGAGCCGAGCAGAGCCGAGCCGCGCCGCGCCGCGCCGCGCTGCCTGCTGGCCGCAGGGCTGCCGGAGAGGCGGCTGGCGGCTCYCCTCGCTACCTGCGGGGTCGCCGCCGGCTCGCCGTGACATTGGGAGGGGACTCCAGAGGGTGGCGCCGGGGGCAGGAGCGCCCGTGCCCAGCGCCAGCCGCACCTCGCCCTCCCGGCGGCGGCGGGGAGCGGGGCGGCGGGGGGGGGCTCGGCTCCGGCTGCCCAGGCGCGCAGCCCTTCATTTCCTCTCGCCGTCCGTCGCGCTGCTGGAGGCTCCGGACTATAAATAGCAGCTCGCCCGGCGCCGAGCGCCTCCCGCACGCACCGGGGGAAAGTGCCGCGCCGGCCGCCCCGCCGGGCGCCCGCCCCGCTGCCGGACAGGTACCGCCGCTCGGGAGGGTCCGGGGACTCGTTGGACAGGGTTTTGTTTCCTTCTTTTCCCCGCGGGCTCGGGCGCGTCAGGAGAGATTAAAAGCCGAGAATYGGTTCCGGCAAAGTCCCTCCCTTTTATTCCCTTATCAAGTTTCTTAAGGTTACAGCCCGCCAGGCACGCAGCCCTGGCAGCGGGAGAAGGCGCGTTCKCCGGGAGCCGCGGCCGCCGCTCGGTGAGGGAGATCCGGGCTGGAGCGCGCCGAGGGCGGCTGCCGCTCTCCCGCCTCCTCAGGGCCGGCGCTGAGGGAAGGAAGGTGGCTCGGCCGCCCAGAGACCTGTGMCCGGCCCGCCGCCGCCCTCCGGGGYAGCCGGGAGTGCGGAGRGACCCGAGCTGCCGGGGCAACTTCCAGCCAGGAGCCGCCGGGGATCTCCCCGAGCTTCTCCCGACGGCGGCGGCGTTGCCCGCCGGGAGCCTGGATGCCGCCTTGGCCGCGGTGCCGGCCCCCCTGCAGCTACGGCCGTGGCCCTTCTGAAGGGGCACCAGGGGCTCTCGAGGACCTTATCCGCAAGGGTTTTGTGTCGCCTTCGAAAGTTGGGGATACTTGGGTGAGGGTAGCGACTTCTGTAGGTGACGCTAAGGGTTAATGTTAGAGCTATAGGATCCCCATCCCCATCTTGCTAAGAGCAGCGTCTGCCGAGATGTAATGGAAACACCAAGAAAGGTTTGCAGATAATTAAGTTGAGCAGAGTTGTAACTTGAAATTGTATCAGCCAGAAGAGAGGGGGTGGGGGATGATGGATAATTTCTGATCTATGATCGAGTACAGCTCTGCTTTCTTTTTCTGAAATGACACAGCATGGGTGGCAGAGCTTGGGACTCTAAGCTTGGTCCTCAAAACTAACGCCGTGCCTTATCCAAAATAGAAACAATGGGATGAAATCTTTGTGGAACTGTGTTTTCATCATGTGTTTTCAATGTTTCCATTTCTCTTCCTTGCCAGAAGAAATTTACTTGTTTGTTTATCCATTAATGATGTGTTAAAATAGATATACTAAAATCAGGCCATACGTATGCCATTTARATCTGACTTTGAATCTCAAAGATGAGAATATTTCCAGTCTTCACTGGCTTACAGGCACTCTGTATTTAAATGATGTCTACATAATGAGAAAGATGGGGGGAATGTCTCTTTCTCGGTCTGTATCAAAGCAAGAGTATGTAAATAATTGGTTACTAACAAAACTTCTATTCAGATGAGTATTTGTAAGTGTGCAGCAGTCTTTAAAAAGGCAGTTTTCTACTCACTTGATTATTTTCAATGTTGTTTTTATTTTACTTGGTTAAATTTGAGCTAGCTTTAAAGCCCTGCAGTATCAGTTTTTTTTTGTTCTGTGAACCTATATATTGGATGGGGTTTGTGTACGTAAGCCCTCATTACTGTATCTATCCATGCAGGACTGAATGCTGTTTACTTCACACATATTGATAATTCCACTGAAATTAAGACACAAGTCACAAGATTAATATGAGCAGCAATTAGTCCTGAGAGATTTTTACAGCCCTGATGGCATTAGTGACAGCATGTGGCAGTGTTACTACTTCAGAGCCCTATTTTTTGGTTTTTTTTTTTTCCCTTTCCGCTTTCTGACAGTTTCTACAGCACTGAAGATAAGATTAAATCTTTCCTTAAAACACATCTTTTCTTTTATTGGCTTTCTTGGACTCACTGAAGCTTCAAGCTTGACTTCTCCCTGGGTTTCTCAAASCTTGCAAGTGTGGCTGATCCCTCTTTTGCTCTGGTTTCTCTTTCTCTGGAGACACTTATCCGTAAGGCTGCTTTAGTTCTTTTTGATCAAAGAGTTCTGTCTTCCTCAGGCTAAGGTATATCAGTTTGAGCAGGTGTATCCAGGTGCCTCTTACAGATCCTCCTTTATGATCTATAGTCTSCTTATCTTCTGATCTGACTGAAAGATTTCACAACATTAGGTGAAGGTTTTGTGAATCAAAATTGCAAGATTAATAGTCTGCTTAGTGCCTGGAAGTCTACTGCACTGTAAGAAGACAAAAAAACCCTCCAAACTCCCAACTAAAACCACAGGAATGGGGGACCTGCCTGGAGCATCGAAGTCAGCCTGTAGAGGACACTGCTGCTGGCTGTCAGTAATGAGGAGAGTYTGCAGATGAAGAAGTTGTTTGAATAGGCCTAGGCCTAAATTCGTTGAATTTTTTGAGGTAAACGAATGGGATTGATAGGTATGCTGAATTATTTAGCTTGTTATGGATAAATATTTTTAGCATGACTTCTGTAGGGAAATATGAAAACAATACTTTTTGGATTTATGTAACAGATTTACAGGAGGAAGTAAGGTGGTTTACTGAGACAGATCAAAAGATGGACAGTTACCCCCCCAACTAAAGTTTCTTCAGAATTTCTGATGACTTGAGGTAGCATGCTTAAATACTTGGGCAGTTAGCTACATGTCTCCCTAATTTATATTTTCATAACCCTTCCTGCATGTCAAATGCTCTAACGGGTAGAAATTTTAGGAAGGGCTAGTTTTGCTTGGTTTGTTAAATACCTTGTATTACACTCATATTTTACTGTTGTTATTGATGAATGRTGAATGTTATTTATTACACTTTTGAGGAAGTGTTCCCTCTTCCATAGTTATCTCGGGTGATATAACTCAAATTCTATGAAATACTTTYCCCTGGCTTTTTAAATTAACTTGTAAATCTTGTCAAAACACAGGGTAGATGGAAGGCTGAAATGTTATTTGGGATGAGTTGGCAGTCCTGGCCTCAGCAGGCCTTGAGTCTTGTCTACTGCTTACGCTGGGTTTAGGAGCTTTCCCCACAGTTCCTGATTTCACCTACCAACCTGGCAATCTCACTAYAAATTCATCCTGAGTTCTCCATCTCTTACTTTTGCAGCAGTCACAGCTGATTTTGCTCCTGCTATCTTTAGGGTTTGTTTATAAGGGAATCCCTAATTCTTCCTTAACTCAGCCAGATAAGGATCTGGTCAGATAGCTTCTCAGGTTCTCCTGGATAGTGGATATGTTACAGAAAACCTGAAGCTAACTGTGAAAAGCCAGCTGGATTGCACGAGGTTTGAGTGTGGTGCTGGACTTCGGCTCACAGATGTTTTCACAGTGATACAGGATTTTAATTAAGAAGCCTCGCTCATCTTCACACAAAAACCATGCTGACAATTCTAAAGAGGGCTTGATGTTTGTGGATTTCAGTATCCTGCTGTTTGGAAGGCTATGCTTTTTCGGTTTGCCAGAAGAGGGGAAAAAAAGTATAAGTTCCTGGTGCAGAATTCTCTAGTCCATTTTCCCCATAATCTGCAAAAGCAGATTCAGTTGATTTGGCCAGGTCAGTAGCAGGTCTTTTTGGGGAAGATTTTTTTCCCCATTTTTTTCTGTCATCATAAATTAACTAAACATGGGCAGAATCTCAAAGAGGAAATCAGATTTAGGCAATCCATTCTGCTATGAAAATTGCTGTTAGGAGACGGGATATGTTGTCTGTCTTCCAAGTCTTGTGTACCTTTTTGGCAAGGTATACTGAGATAACGTACTGAAAAGTGAAGTGGACATCTTATGCTGTACATGGCATGATTTTTAATTTGTCTTAAGAGGGAGTGAATAGAACAAATTGTATCTGCTTATTCTGTAGGTTTTTAAAGTTTACAATGATAAAGTCAGCTTACATATTTCAGCAATGGGTTTTGAATTGTTTGATGTGTCATTAGTTGGATTTTTAAGAAATGTAGAGTTACTTCTGCTCCTCAAGTGCTATAGAYCCAAAGTCTAAAGAATTCACCACTCTCTGAATCAAAAGAGACTGGACGGGAGCTTTCTGTTTACAGTCATTTCAGCTCTGTCTCTGCACAGGAGGTTTAAAATTGGGTTTGGATGCTAATAGGCTTTTTGCCTCAGCCTGGCAAACTAAGCCTCTTTTATTTGACAGTGAATTTGCCCCATAGGTTTCTTTAGATTGTTTGTAATGTTGAAGAAGGCACTATTTAATGAAAATGCATAAGAAAACACAAGCTAAAGGTTCTTACTTGACATAGTACTGTGTCAAAGTGTTATTTATCAAGGTCACTTTGGCAGGATGAGTTTGCTCTGTTACTGGGTATCATGGCATTAAAAATCAAATCCATCCATGCTTTTTTGATGGATGTTTTTTGTTTTGCAGTGTATCCTGTTTCTATGAAATTTCACCCTGTGACCCCAGTGAAAATTTATCCTGAGTGCAGCAGTTAAGTCAGTCTGGGGAGCACTTTCTCTTAAACTTAACATGTATAAATAACTAAACCACTTTAATTTGCATCAATTCCTTTCCTTCTGTTATCTGTACCCTTGCCAATAGGAGTTTCTTGCTGCAAACTGATTTGGCAAATAGAGTGAAACCTTTTAATATGAGGCTTTAGAAAGTCCCTGTTTTTTAATGTGACTGTAAGAGTTGGATATGTAATGGACAATTAGGAGGAAGAAAGTCTTGTGGGAAATAAGCTTTTATTGTATTTTGACAGTTGTTCATGTACCATCCAGTCTGCGTAGTGTTTGTTTAGTTTTCAAGACTTGTCTTAGAGTGCTATAGTGCTAGTGAGATGCACTAAAGCTAGGGCGCATATTTCTGTTATGAAAAAGGCTCAGAAACATGCAAATGGGTGTAAAATCTAGGTGTTAAATGTGGCTTGGTATCTTGTGCATTTGTGGCTGTGCAAATGGAGCATTAAGCAGAACACAYCARCTCTGGTGCTYTATAGTGTTTCTGTAGCAGCAATAAAAGTTTCTGTTTGTTTTRTATTTGTGTAAGTGRCTAAAGAAAACAGYTGTCAGTAAAACTGAGTTTTCTAARATGAAATRACTTTCTCTGCTATAGAAATGTAAATTTGGAATAATATCTTCATTGGGTTATTCCATTTTATTCTGTAAATGAGAACGGGGTTTGATACAGAGAGCAGGAGATACTGCATCTGACGTTCACAAAA